ATGCGTGATTACCCCCAGTTTTCTCTGTGGATTTCAACAGCCCTTGGTATAATCTACTTGTCTCACATAGCCATTATCTGAGAAAAAAACAAATAACTTTAGACTTAATTTTTCTAAAAAGAAGCCAGTTCAGCGTTTTTCTCCATACCTATGCTCATTTATCTCTGAAAAATGCGTGGTAACCACACTGGTAAACTCAAAACTGGACTGAGCTGCCATCACAGCTTCAATAATGACAAACGTTATTAAGTAACATCTAGAATCGAGAAGGATGTTGATCGCTTGATTGAAGACAAAGCATTTGCTAAGTACCGGGGTGCTTACCACATTGGCTCAAAATCTAAAATTTCTGAAGCCAGAAAGAGAAAGGAGTAGAGATAAAAAATCAAAGAACAGGAGATTGAACGCTTCAAATAACAGACGAAAAAGAGCTTGCATTATATTTAGATCCTTGGGAGGAGAGCCTGTTGAACTTTGTTATGAGCCACATATATATGGAATTCTGCAAATCGATTCAGTCGATGAAGAAACATTGCTTTTTGTCACATCAAAAACCGACAAAGCTTGGCTACGAGATCTGTTTGATTCCCATTGTTTTATGGGGGAAGCTGAAAAACAAGTTCATGATTTTTGCTTTACATAGGATCAGCTCAATTAATTAGAAGATGCGTTAAAATTGATCAGTTGTGAATTTTCTTTTCATTTTGATGGAATATTTTCAATAATCGTTTAACAGCTGTTCGTGTTGATATTTGTTACAGTCTATCATGATGCCTGTATTGAGAATCTTTTATTGCGTTTAATTTTATTTACATTTCGAATAAAACTTAAGGCCCCCCTCCCTCCGTCAAATGAGTGATTTTACTTTGAGCCCCCCTTATCTTGGCAGCAATTTTATGTAATGCCCCCCCTCTGGTTTTAGGGCCCCCCCTCCTGATAATTATTGCACAGTCCCTTACCCCCAGTTTTCTCTGTGGATTTCAACAACCCTTGGTATAATCTACTCGTCTCACATAGTCATTATCTGGGAAAAAATACTTCCCATTATTGGGCACCGTCCTTAGACGAAAATCAATAATCCGGCACTATTCTTTATCAACGATGCTAGAAATCAAGTAAACCGGCCTTTAAATCTTTCTTGCTGAGAAACGCGGCTCAAAACATTTTTAGTATTTTGAAATCTCAATAAATGCAGTTCAGGCCCGGGAGGTACTCAGTTATATAAGCCAATGCATATAACTGGGTATGTGCCACCCCAAAGGGTATGCATGGTTTTTGGGCCATTTCGGTCTGAAAACGGGTATACGATTTTGCCCATTTTGGTCTGGAATCAGATTTCGTTTTCGAGGAAACTAAGGGAGTGTATAAAGGTATTTGTCGTTTAAATTCCAAATTAATCAGAAGGAAATAGTAATATGCTGAATTCGAAATGGATTTTAAGAAGTCTTTTTGATTGAGCTTATAAGCTTAAGTCTAAAAATGATGACTTCATTTCTACCTACACTAGGTCTGAAAAAGGGTGTGGAAAATACCAATGTTTTTGTGAGAAATAGGGTCAGGATTTGGAGAAACGGAGGACATACCCCCACCACGAATTCCGAGGAATAAACACCACCCTCCTTCCAACCCCTGCTAAGCGCTCCTTCAAGTGATCTGGCAGAAATTAATGCTGTGAAAAATTAAGTCATTGTATCAAACTCTTCATAAGAAGTTTATCTTACAACAGATTTCTTAGACATGAGGCTTAGAACAAGGAATCAAATCGAAATGAAGTATTATGTAGGGAGATTAAGGAAGACAATGTCAAAGGCCATACCCAAGAGAGTTCTTGGGTGCACAATTAAGACTTTTAAAAAATTCAAGGCAGTGTCCGCACACAATCGGTTATTCAGCAAGCAAACAACTCTTTGACTGGAAAAAGCGACAAAGATAAAGTTTTGTGTTCAAACTTTTGTACAAAAACAAAATTACGGTATATAAACCTGTCACCCATATCACCTTGGAATTGACTGAACGATTACGCCGGGTAACCACTTGGACTTGTATGGATCAGACTGAATTAAATGCTAGAAGACAGCGAAATGAACTATAATTGTAACTAAAGGAAGCAAAAATATATTCGGAGATTTCGTCCACGCTATCAGCAACGACTTGAGGTTTTGTCTTTATAGCCATTGTACAGCGGATATGCCTGAGAAAGTCAAGCTACCCCCTCTTCTTTGCATGACGGTGAACAAGACGGGTCCCGCGAGATCTGAATATCGTTTTAGCTTCACACCAAAGGTAAAACTCGTCCAACCTCACGTCAAGCTCGCCTCCAGTTTCATGTATCGGCGTCCGCCAGATTCTATCCGTGGCCAGCCCCGCGAAAGCTTTCAGCCTGGTTTTGTTCCCGCTGCAAGATCGGGCTGGCTTGATGACTATGTGTTTCTGCATAGCAACGCGTTTTACAGCAACAACAAAGAGAAGCGGACTTATTTCACTGTAAGGCCAGATTGGGTGTCTGAAAGATGTGTTCGGAAGAATAATCCTTTCTCGTAGTATATTTAGTTGATAGAAATGACTCTAGGGGTCGGTTATTTAAACTTAAACCGCGCTTTTGGAAATATTTGGACCTCCTGATCTCTTCCTTACACCATATGCTTCTATGAAACTGTTCACTATAAATGGCGTTAACATAAAAGCGTTTGCAAAATGAAAATGGCTTGGAACGCTGTTTTGTTAAACACCCGCTAAACTCCATTTAAATCCTCAGGGGCACCCAACGGCAATTTTCGGGAAAATATCTGTTCGGAAGACGATTTGAGATCTAGAATTTTCGGAGCATTTGTTGTAAAATCTCTCTACCCATCTACCCATTTTTAACGGATTTTGTCCCTAAAAAAGGCCACCTAGAATTTTCGGGAGCCTTTTCCTGGCTGAAATTTTCGAGAAGGTAAGTTTTTATCCCTACAATTTTCGGATCACTAGACTTTCAGTTAGGAAATCCGAACAGATGAAAAGATTTTAGGGGATAAAAATATGCCTATATCTACCGTTTGAATACTAAAATACGTTCAACAATGCTATGTTAAGTGGTTTTGAACTATATTCTCGTTGGGTGCCCCTGAATCCTGGCCCTAAGTGACTGTTCCTTATTTTTGTGTTCTACCGAGCTGAGGGGCTCATTAGTAGTCGGACTCACTGTCAGTTACGCTTTATATTGCAACGTCTTAGGCTATGGATGGCTTTAATTGCGTTGGCACGGAAAACCATACCGGATAGGGATTCTGTTGGTTCACACATAAGAACGATGATTTCGACTCGATTTCTGCAACGGAGCGAAACTGCGCCTCACCGATCTCTAAAAGTGACCGACTCATATATCAGTTGAATTCGACAGACTCTGACGAATTTTGATCGCACCAGCCTCTTACATAATAACTAAAACTTCCGTACCAAATTGATTCAAACGCCGCTCTTTTGCCGTAGTTAATTCATCAGCGGTTCAGACGCCGCTCTACTCATGTGCCGAACCTAACTGAGTTTGGATCGACTTTGGAGCGACATTGGCGCGACATCTGATTCAGACGGCGCACCGTGTGTCGAACCTAATCTTTATTTCATGTAGGGACTTATGGGAAGATTTATAAATTAATAATGTATGCATTTGATTCGGCACATGAGAAGAACGTCGTATGAATCACCTGCCGCTCCAATTTCGAATAATGCGACAGACCCTGTCGAACTTAACGTTTTTGCCGCACCAAAATAAAACTGCCGTACCAAACTGATTCGGATGCCGCTCTTTTGCCGTACTTAATACCTCAGTTAGGTTCGGCACATGAGTGGAGCGGCGTCTAGGTTCGGCACATGAAACAGTCCTTAGGCGTTGGTACTATCCCGCGGATAGCTTTCCATATCGGCAAGACAGGTTATCCGGTACAGTGTCAACATAGCCTTAGTTTACTGCTCATTTAATTAGGTGAGACTGCCATATAAAATGTTCTGAACTAAACTTTAGCCTCATTCGTTCTTTAACCAAGAATGTTTTTCCGGTTATTCTTAGCCTCTACTTTCTATCTAAAAAAGAAAAGAGTGTAGGCACACAACCATTACAGCTGCGAAAATAAATTTGCACCCAACTAGAATATGGTTATCAGTTGTTTAGAGCATGTATAAACTGCTTCTAAACTTAAAGGGCGCCCTTATTGTATTGTTTGTATACAACCACCAAAATTCTACGGAGGAAATAACTGACCACGGTTATCTTTTTCGCTGTAGAAGTATTTGGAGGTGAAATGCTGTCTCTGTTTGGGGAAAAAAAATAGCGAGGAGTTCCCCGGCCAAAGGCCTGTTCACAGACTAAAATGCTGCCGAAGTGCGCTGATGTATCACTTATTTTACAGTAAAATGTGATCCAGATAAAGGTGATGCTTTTTAATGCTGATAAGAGTGGAATAACAGAAATAGAAAGGAGAAAACCTTGACCTTGAGTGTAAGTCTTCCGCTACAGAGTTTTTTTTATAACGAGTCTATCATATTTCAAGGTACGCTGAATTAAAAGTGAAGAGTGTAAAAAAGTATCATGGCATTAGGTCAGCAACCGGTTAGTTGACGATTTGTATTCAATTAGCTCCTTGATACCCCAGTACAATAACTCTTAAGCAATTCGATTTAACAAAGAACAAAATTGCATAACAATAAAAGTAAAGAACGAAATGATGAATTTGTTGGCAGGTTCAATTAATCACAATGTGTATCATTCGCGTTGCTATAGACAACAAGTAACGCAACCTTTTTTAAACAGCCGGTACTCGTGGAGTGGAGGAGAGATCATTTCACCATGTTTGACTTATGATCTTGAATCAGTTGCTGTAGCGAAGTTTGAAAGTTTGTTTTCTCAGTGATTTTTGGATAACACATTCTGGCTGCCTAAGAAAACAAGCTTCACTTGGGCGATTAATTCGCTTGGGCGATCATTGTCCTTATCTTCGCTCTCTGACTGCGATTCTCTCAAGATGCCATATAAGTATGGAAATGCCCCAGGGTTATTACAGGAAACTATTAGTAAAATAACGTACAAAAGCGAATACACAACAAGTTTCACAGGAGAACGTGTCCCGTTCCAGAACGTTCGCATTCCAACAGGATTAAAGATGAGAACGGCATGGGATGAAGCACGGACGCCGGAAACTTCTCGTGCTATCCAGTTGCCTTTTCACCACAGAAGAAATTATCCCGCAAGAGTAAACCTTCAAGGACTCCAGCCATCACCAACAGCACGAGCTAGAAGCGCCCTTCAAAGGCCCAGTAGTAATGCGTCTCAAATTAGCCGAAGCAGTGGTCGAAGACCTACGAGTTCGGTGTCGGCATTCTCAACGCGCGAACGACCAAGCACCGAAGATTTGCTACGACGACCCCAGAGCTTAGTGGCACGAAGGCCTCAAAGCGAGCTTTCTCGTTTCCCAAAAGAATTCCGCTACATTGACAAACAGTGCTTCTTTCATCCAGCCACCGAACCAAGTAGGAGCTTTTTTATAATAAGTCCTGACTGGGTGTCTGAACGCAAGAATTACTTTATTCGCAAAAATACTCTGTTTGGTTAAAAATCCAACTTAAGATTGAATTTACCTTAATGTTATTACGAACTCTTGATAAGAGTGTAAACCGGAATGAACTACGTCGGTTTCTTTTAAATAATTCGGGAGCCGATATATTGGGGAATATTTCAAGAAGCACTTGTCTTAACTCTTTCACGGCACCAAAGGTCACACAAGTTCATATGAATATACAGTACGCGATTGTACTACTGCGTGACAGGTTTTTTGCTGTTGGTGTTGTTTAATTTTGTTTGACTGCGATCCATCGAGGCATTCCTAGTTTTTTTAGAATCATTCTGTTGAAAATTTAATATTAATTATTCTGTTGAAATTAACCGAATTGACTGGACAGGAAGACTTGAAAGACGTGTGTTAATTACTCTAGGGCGGGGGGGGGGTACTCCCTAATATGGGCTACATAGGTATGTGCGGCCCCAAAGGGTAGGGTTTTTCAGCCGTTTTGGTCATAAATTGGGTATCGATTTTGCCTATTTTGCCGCCATTTTGGTCATAAATAGGGTAACGATTTTTGCACTGTAGTCTTGAATGCACTTTTTTAGAAGAAGCTACTTCCTTATCATGTCCCCCTCCTTCCATCCGCGCTTTGCCTTCCTCTCCACCGGCTGCTTTGTTGGCTAGAAAATACAAGCAACCAAAGCCCTTCACAAAATAGGGTATCAAATTTTTGGTTAGGTCATAAATAGGGTAGGGAAAATCGCAGATTTTGGTCATAAATAGGGTAAGGGTTTTGGTAAGCGGGCCGCACACCCCTACCCAATTTTTCTGCGAGTACCCCCGGGCTCTAGGGATGCTTCGCCCGATCTCACTTTAAGTTAAGGTTGCAATTGGTGACCTAAATGCTGCAATGGAAACGTACAAAATGCAACATATCCCATTGGTTGACAGACAAAAAGTAGGTCAACATCAAAGAGAAGGAAATAAAGAAAAGCCAAACGAAGAGCAATCGGTGGTGAATGATTAGTTAACGGGGACACTTGTTCTGATGACTGGCGATGCTGATGACTGGCTGATAACTGGCGATGCTAATTTTCAAGAAACTAGGTCCTCTATAAAAAAAAATGTCGAATTCAGGATGGCATTTCAACTCCCCTCCTTCAACGTTGTCCATCATTATAAAGACTGATTGATTTTATGATGAGATTTTTTCCATTGAAGAACACTCAGCAGGGCAATGGGTTAATATTCTCTACGGGAGTCTTTCTATCGTTTGATCACCTGAGTGTATGTAAAACTGAAATTATTCTTAAACTTGAAACGTAAAGAAGAAAATAAATAACAGTGTATTTTTGGTTCCTTTAGATTTTACGTCAATGGCAAAACCGTTTTCAACTGAAGTAAAAAAAAAAAAAACAGAACAAAATTCTTTACCCAGTGGGTATAGATGTACCATGGTGAGGCCATATGTGTGATTAGTTTTTATTATAATATCTGTTTAGTCGTGTCATTGCAGGTTGTCGAAGTACATGACTGAGAGCATTGTTCATCTAGACGTTTGCCATTAAAAATTTATTAGATAAATTAAGAACGCACATAGCTGGTCATAGATCCATAGCAACTAGCTTCGTTTACAATTAAATCATTCAGAAAACACTGCTACATGCATGAAAGCCTCAAAGAACAATGTCTCTTGAGTAAGTACATGCTATTAGGATGGCGAATGCGGTTAAAAACTGGCTTTCTGAGCCTCAAGGGCTTGAAACGAAGTCTAAAGTTGCCTGTTAGTGAATTACCGAAGAAAGTCACTTAGTTAAACGTTACATTCCATAATCATTTCTGTGGTACTGGTGCCCTGAACGCAGCCACAACGTCAATTCAATTTTCCACCTTGGAATCAAGAACTGTTTGTCAGCAGCATTCAACTCTAGTAACCTCAAATATGGAACTTTTGTATCCAGGA